TTTGTTGGAATTATTTTAAATTACAGTGGGATTCTTGATCTTGGAAATCTGAAGAAATTGAACTTGGTTTTAATTCTATTTTTGCTACCTTGGAAAGTGACATCTATATAGATTTCTCTCTTCTGAGGTTAAGATAATGTCTGTCTGATTCAGAGAGAGTTTTCTGGGCAGAGCTGTGTTGAATCTATTGGGACGACTTTAATATTTGTTTGGGGGGTTTTTCTGTTGTAAAATAACTAAAGACTTTGGGCAGGGTGTGTTTCTCCCATTTCTTGTCACATCTACATAGTTGCATTTAGTTGTTGTAGAAGATGATAGAGTTCTACATTCAGTAGCACTTATTTCTATTTCTCTTTATGATAGGAAATTTTTGAAACACCAGCTGAGAGGAAAGAACTGTGAACTCCTACTGGTGGTGCCAGAGGAGGTGGAAGCACATCAGACCTGGAGAGCTGACGTGTGATCTGGACCGACTGTCCTCCAACTACAGCTCTTCCCCTTTACCAAACTCCTGATGTCCTAAAACCTGGATAATGGATGCCCCGACTCTTCCTGTCTGGAATTTCCTTTGTTAGGCTCTTCTCTTCCTTCTTTGGTGCAATAGGGCAATGGCACAGGACGTTGGGGGTGGTGGGTGGGGAAGAATTGAGGCCAGAGCGGAGGAAACTGGAAGCCAATCACTTTAGTTGCAAGGTGGATGAGCTGCGTCCCTTTGGCCAGCGGGAAGGCATCGTGCTCTTTAAAACTGGGCTGGGGGCGAGGGTGCCTGGAAACCTCCGGCCTCCCTTTCCCCACGTGGCTCAAGGCCGTGTATGGTGGGACCCTGCCCTGTCCAGGGCTTGCCAGGGAGGAGCAGGGGCCGAGCATGCTGCCACCTCTTCACAAGTCTCTCCCTCCAAAACAAGTCACCATGAAGACATTTGCAATTCCTAAGGATCTCTCAGGACACTCAAAACACTAGGAATGGTACGGTGCTCAGCACGACCCTCTGCTTCTTAGGGCTGGTTTGTGCCAGTAATTAGGAAACAATAATAAGAACAGTGTCATCTTCCAAGAAATTCTTCAGGTAGCTAGAGGATTCTTCCCCAGTGTCTCCAGGGATTTATGTATGTGGTGAGCGGTTCTTTGGCAGCGTGTGGCTGGCTAAGGTGACATGGAAACAGCAAGCACAGGCTGAGGAGTATCAAGTTTCTGGACTGGAGAGAGGCCATAGTCTGCTTGGGTTTCTTCGTGCTGTGGTGCGGGGGGGGCAATTATTTTGTTTTATTTTTTAACACCTATTTTGGTTTTCTGCATGGTCACCCAGTTTAGAGGCTGCTTGGAGAGAGGAATAAAGCTGAAGAGGTTTTGAGAGAAATTTCATTCCCTTTTATTTCCCTCTTCAGAAGCATAGCCCATAGTCAGGAATGTCATGTGAAATGTCCCAGAAACAGGTCAAGTTACAAAATAAAAATGAGCTGAGGAGGGAAGCCTTCATAACAGGTTTGCCCTTTCATAGTTAGTAGCCACTGGCGTGGGAGCTGCAGAGGGTCCACCAGAATTTTCAGGCATTAGAGACACCCTGACTTGGTAGTTGAACCAATCTCCCCTTTAGTGTTGGCCGACAAACATTCCATTAATGGATGAATTGCTTTTTCCTGCCTTCTGTGGGGAGGAGTGACTAGACATGGAGACTCTAAGCAGAATCCCTACCGGCTGTTCCCAGTCACCCAGATGAGCTGTAGCTCAGCCATGCCTTCCATGGCAGGAGGTGGTAATGCTGAATTTGGAACAGACTTCATTCTGTTTAGCACTTCCTGGCTGAGCTGCTGTTTGCTTCCCTCTTTACGTGTCTGAGTTGAACAGCAGCCTCTGGTACCTGATGGAGCTCGAAGGATCCTGCTCCATCGTGCAGGAAAGTCTCATTACTGATGTTCGAGCTGGTGAAAGGAGGGCTCGTAATGATCTTTTCTCAGTTATTTTTCTCTTCAGAGCTCTGCAAATGCATGAGTGGGTGCTCGAAGCTGAAAGACCACCAAAATGGCACCTTCCCAGCAGAGAGGCCATATGAGGACGGGATGATGGTGTTCACTGCCCCCTGGACATCTGGCAAGCACTGTTTTGCAGTCCTTTGAGCACAGCCTCCCACAGTAAAGGGCAAACGGCTCTTACGTTTTAAAAAGTTGTATTTCGTAACACATTCCAATGACCAATACCAGCTGGCAGAGTTTTTAAACACTTTCCAGGCAGGATGTGCAGCCTGCAGGCATTCTGCTCCTGACTTGAAGCCATTTCTTCAAGAGGGGTAAAAATATATCTCAACAGCAACGTTTTCTATGCTGATTGAAGTTGCACTTTGGAGAAAAACCGTTTGCATGGAAACTGCAAGCCAATGGACAGTGCACAATATGCAAAGATGTTTTAAAATACTTTGGGGCTACTTTCCTCTCCTTGTACGTCAGCTGCTTCCCATGGGGGGGAAACAGTGTGATCCAGCTGCTCAGGTAAAGGGAGAGTGTACGATCACACCCCTGTGGGAGGCGAGGCTGCCGTGCCCAAGGGTGGGTGAGCCGGTCCAGTCCCACCGCTCAGGAGTGGGGAAGCCCCTGTTTGTTTTCTTGCTTGTTTGGTTTTGTTAGAGCCTTGTCTTGGGTTTGTTTACAGAGATGTATTTTGTTTAACCAAATATTAAAAATGGAAAAAAAAAAGTTTCCATATAAATGTCCTATCACTTCTGTATGTTCAACTGAATTGTTCTGTAACAAAGTATGTAAAGGATAAATAAATTTTTTTCTTTGGCTATAAAATCACCACCTTTCTGTGAGTTTAGAGCCTTGAACCTTGGTCACTAGTGCTGAGCACCTCCCTGAGAGCTCCCTTAAGCCGTGCAAGGCTTCCCCCCCACTCTGAGGGTGACAGAGCCATGTCAGTCCCTTCCCCGTTGCCAGGAAGTGCATGAAATGGAGAGGTCCCTACACACAAAGCTCCCAACAGCTCTGAAAGAACTGAGCCTCCCTCAAGGACATCTATTAAAATCACACTGCTCAGGTTGGATTTATTTAATATTCCATACAAAAAAATACGCAGCTGATATCTGAAGTTCTACTTTATGAGGCAGAGAATCTGCGTGGATGTGATCGTCTCAAACCTGGCCTGCTGCTCCCTCTGTTCTCACACACACACAGAGCTACAGTGAAAGTGTTTCTGCAGACACATCTTCCCAAAGAGTGTTTTCCACGGGGTATGGATTGCCACCTGCACCCCTCCTTCCTCTGCTGCAAAAGTCACTCCTGCCACCGGTGTCCTTCAGCTCCGAGTCAGGCAGGAAAGAATTTGTCCTCTCTGACTGCTGCTTTTCAAAGCTTGACCTGTGCCCCAGGGTGGTTTTGGGGGGGCAGGGGCAAGGAAGCTGGCAGAGGAGCTCCCCCAGTCCAAGTCTGTACCTGGTTATGGCATAGTGATTGAATAAAAGGAAATACTCATGATTTCTACAGGAGGGGGGATGCAGACAGGAACCGTCATCAGGTCCAGAGGAGGGGCTTCCCCCCCTCGTTGTGAACAGGTCAATGTCCCAAAGGAGAACCAAAACCAAAAACAAACAAAAGGAAAAAATGCCCTGACCCAACAAATCAACAGTTCAATATATCATAATCGCGAGGTCTTCCCACTTGATATGAATCCAACTCAGCTTCCGCAAATTAGATTTTTCCAGACAGCGGAGGCAGGGCCCCTGGCATTCCCCCTGAGAGCCCTGTGTTGGGTCCAAGGAGGATCTGAAAGGAAAACAATTGGTTGAGTGGCTTCAAGGACACAGGAAGGATTCCCACCCTGTCCCCCCTCCTACAGGTACTGGCAGTGCCACAGCCGAGGTCAGTGTCTGACCACAGCCCCTGTTTCAGCTATTCCAGCCCCTCAAAGCCTATCTCAGCTGGAGAGAGCCAGGTTGTGCTTGCCAGATTGTCCCACTGGAACATCCAGCTGGAGAATCTGGTGGGATGAGTGAGGCCACAGTGTGTAACAGTGCACTCCTCTCCCGCAGCAGCTGGTCACAGGGGGAGGCACTGGCACTCCCAGCCGACTTTGCAGGGCTAGGAGAGAGGGCTGGGCTGTTCCTGCCTCACCTGTCGCTGCTGCAGCTGCTGCTGTTGCTCCATCTGCAGTTTTTCCGTTTCAAAGACGACAGGAAGAACCAGAATCATGAAGGAGGTGGTCCCAATCCACAGAGCTGCCCTAGAGAATCTAGCAAGGAGGAAGACCATTAGGATTCAGAATCAGTTCTTTAGTCACTTCTTACCCGCTTCCCTTCCCACGCTTCCCTTCTGCGCCGCGGGCAAAAGCCTTCCCCCAAATCCACCCCCGAACTCCAGGTGGCACCTTACCCCCGCCCTCCTCGCGCCGCCCAGAAACAAAGCGCGGCCCTGCCGCTGCCCGCCGGCCCCGCACTGCGCTACCCGCGGCCAAAGCCGCCCCGCGCCAGCCGGGCCCGCTTCGAGGGGCTCCCGCCGCCCCCTCACCTGTACATCTTCTGCGCTACCGTCAGCGACAGGTCGAACGTGGCCCCGGCCGCCGATCGCACGCTCTCGGGGAACATCTCCGTGAGCCCCCACAGCCGCTCCGCCAGCGTCTCGTCCAGCTGCGGGCGGCACCAGCGTGTCAGGCCCTGCCGCCCGGCCCCGCGGGGTCACCGCGCCCGCCCGGCCCGCCCGGCCCGCCACGCCGCCGCTCGCCCTGATACCTCCTCGTCGTCCTCCTCTTCTTCCTCCAGCTCGTCTTCCAGCTCCTCGGCCTTGCCCGCGCCGCCCTTGGGCAGCAGCTCCTCCGGGGACAGGGACGCCGCGGCCGCCATCGCCACCAGACAGGACGGAGGGGAGCGGCGGGCGGAGCGCCGCCGGAAGCGGGGCGGCCCTCCCGCCGCCCGGCCCGGGCGAGGCAGCGGCCCCTGGCGGCGCGGAGGAACGATGGCCCCTCCCCGCCCGGCTGCCCCAGCGCAGCGCGACCCGACACAAACACCCACAAGAAACGTGTTTTAAAGGCGAGGTTTTATGTAGATTATGCAAAACCCTCGAGAACGAGCAACTCCAGCATCCCGCTCGCCCAAGGCAGGCGGCGAGGCTTGTACGAGCCTCCGCGGGCTCCCCATGGGGGGGACAGGCTGGAGGGGGCAGGGGTTTCCCTGCCTTCCTAAGGCAAGGAGGAGCCCGCACGGAGAGGGATCTTCTCCACCGCCCTTGTCCGGCTGCCTTGGAGAGAAGGGTATCTATGCTGGGTTGCTGCAATGTAAAGTGCTCTGAGAAAAAACGTGTTAATTTCAACAGTGCTGCGGTGCCAAACCAACCATCAGCAGCATCACGGCACCGCACAATGCTGGAGGCATCTCGTCACTCTTGGTCCCATGAAACAAAGTACCTACAGACAGTACCAACGTGGCTGGGAGGCCCAAGCTGGCCCTGGCATCCTGTGCGCCAAGACCCAGAGCCAGCCCCATTCTCCAGCCACCTCTTCTTCACTTCCTCCTCCGGCTGTGCTGCTTCAGCTCCTCCAGCTCCTTCTCCATCAGGTGGGACTCAGCGGTGGTCTCGGAGAGCTGCAACGCACAGCAAATGATGACAAGAGTAAGTTAAAAGCTTGTGAGGCTTCTCTGACTTCACAGGACAGTTGAGATTTACCACTGCAAGCCAGGACCTGCAGAAGGGAATTTGTTCCTATTGAGCAAGGGGGAAGCTGCCATGTCACACTTCACTGAGATCACCCGGAAAACCTGGAGAGCAGCTAGGGTTTCTGCTCAGTGCTCCAGCCACAAAAGCCACTTGCCAGTTTCAAAATATGGGAAGAGTAAGGAAGGAAAATAAAGGAAAGAGTATTTGTCCAGACTGACATAAAGGCTAAATCACTTAATAGACGGAGAACACACGTGTTCTATTTCACTGAAAGTCTCTCCAGATTTTAAGCACAAAAGTTGTGATCTTAGGATAAGGCTGAATTTTGGTTTATTTAGGGCTTGGGAATTCTTTCATCCACAAGTTTAAACACAGAACAGATGTCATGTCCCTCGTGACAGCAGATGGAAGTTTTAATCCTCTGTGACCAGAGAGGGTGGCTATAACTCAGTTTCACAGTTAGGGCAGAGGCCAGAGTGGCAAGAAAAATGCCATTCTCCGTGCAGAAGGGGAAAGAGGAGACATGGCGCTTGCAGGCGCTGCCCTCTCCTCAGCCACAGCATTCACAACAAGCTCTGGTGCAGGGGGAACCTTTCTCTCTCCTCACAGAGCAGATCAGGCTCTACTCCCACAGTCACTTCACTGTTACATGAATGCTGCACAGCAGGGTAAGGCAGAAAGCAAGGTGCAGTGGGAGCAGCCTCCTTCAGCAGTCCCAGCACCCTTCACTTGGACCCTTCACCGAGGAATCTCCACTGCTATGGGCAGGCAGGAATAGGGTGAAGACTCACCATGTCCAGCAGAATATCCACTTTCAGCCGAAGGAGGTTGTTTTCTTCCTCTAGCTGCTGGTTTCGTTTGCGCAAGCGCTGCAATTCTCTGCGATCCCCCGTGAAGCTTCCTGATTCTGGGAGGAAAGAAAGAGGTCAAAATATAGATTGTCAGCCAACTGTGGCTACTTCAGACCAAAACAAGCTGAGCTGCACTTTACCTGACACCCACTGGCCATTTTCAAACTTCAGGCTCTGGCCAGCAAGGTTCATGGAGGGGGTGCCGTACTCCAGGCCCAGCTCAACCTCACGGGTGGATCTATCCATCTGCAGGGAGAAGATCACACTCAGCATTCCACAGAATTCCAAGCCACCCCCTGCTCTCCCATTTCTTAGTGACTGGCATTAAAATGGAAGATGCTGGTCCGAATGGCCCTGGATCCTGGAATCCTGCTTTGGTCATGTACTGCTGCAGTAGACAACTGGCTTCTCACTACCATCCCTGCACTTTCTCCCACCCAAACACACACTCACCTCCCTGGGCTTGAAGACCACTGGTGAGGAGTTTTCAGTGAAATGGTTCTGGACTGCATGTAGGGTAACAATGATCTTTCCCTGAGCTATTCCATTTCTAGTTTTATATATAGTCACTGGTGATCAGAAATGGGGTCGCACTGCAGGAATAGAGCAGCACAGCTGGAATCATAGAATATCCTGAGTTGGAAGGACCCCACGGGGATCGAGTCCAACTCCTGGCCCTGCACAGGACAGCTCCAAGAATCACACCACATGTCTGAGAGTGTTGTACAAACGCTTCTTGAACTCTGTCAGGCTTGGTGGCGTGACCACTTCTCTGGGGAGCCTGTTCGAGTGCCTGACCACCCTCTGGGTGAAGAACTTTTTCCTCTCCCAGAAGAAGCTGGGAGCTCTTGTAAGGGTTACGGTACTCGCAGCAGGAGCCACCCACTCCGGTTACCAAGCAAGTACTCCTGCAGCAAACCATGGGCACTGGGACTCACAAAGTGCAGGTTGGAGAGAGAGACCCATTTCCTGGGGGGCGTCTTCTTCGGGCTGAAGGAGCTCCCAAACAGGGGCATCACGTGCTGCTGGCCGGGCTTACAGGAGGCTCCCTGAAAGAGCAGGAGGGATAGGGCTGGTCTGAGGCTGTGGGACAGGAGCAGTGATGTGACAAGGCAGCTACGTTGGCAGGGGCGAGGTTTGCTTCAGCTGCCCATTTTCCAGCACTGACGCTGCCCGGTTTCCACCCAACACCAGCCCTCGCACCCTTTCTCCCCAGGCAGTGCCTCCCTGGCTCTCAGAGAGGCTGAGATGGCGGTTTGGAGGGTACCTGGCTGCCCACCCGCCACCACTGCCCGGCAGCACCGGCACTCCACGGGCACCTCCCTCGCACCTCTGTTGCCACGTGAACAAGCTGGGATGGGGGACAGAGGGTGCAAAGCGTCACAGCCCCCCCAGCCCTCACCTGTGCCCCCTCCCAACCTGTGCCCTCTCCTCACCTGTGTCCCCTCCCTGCCCGCGCCCCTGCCCTCGGCCGGTATCCCTCGCGCCGCGCGGTATCTCCCGGCACCGGCTGGGCACGGGCCGTACCACCCTACGGGCACGCCGAGGAGCTGCGAGAGGAGCACCGCAGGCGTTATTCCCCGCACGGGCCGCCATCGGGATGCTCCTTTGTTCTGTTTTCCCTCCCGGCATCTCACTGGCGAAAGCAGCGGGCTCGGCGAGAGCAGAACCGACGAGGAACACCCCCGCCCCGCAGTGGTAGGGTCAGCCCCGCGCTGCGGGGGCGGTTGGGCCGGGCTGTTCCATCGGGCTTCGCCTCAATGACGGGGGGTGGGGGGGGCCGCACCTCTCCGTTAGGCCGCGCTGGCTCCCGGCGCTCCCCGTCCGTCCCCAGTGGGATCCGCCGCGTGTCCCGGGAGCGGTTTGCGGCCGCCGCGTTGCCGTGGCGACGGGATCCGCCGGTCCGCTCCGCCTCCCGTGGACGGGGAAGACGGGGGCGGAGTGGCTGGGGCGGTGGGGATGGGGCTCTTCTCGCGTCAAAGTTGTGATGTGCTATCCGCGCTTTCCCTAGCACCCTCCCGAAAATGCTCGAGTCGGTTGGAAGACTTTCTAAAATTCTTTTGGGTGGGTTTTTTGTTTGTTTGTTTGTTTTTCAGATAAATACCTATAAGCCATGAGGCAAGCCTCCTTGCTTGGGAACATGGGAGAAAAAGTGGAGGAGGTCTGGAGTCCTGGACTGCGTCTGTTCAGGGGATGATGGGTGAGGAGCTGAAGAGGGAAGTATCCCACAGAACCGCAGAATCAATTAGGTTGGAAAAGACCTCTGAGATCATCGAGTCCAACCCATGCCCGAACTCCACCGTATCAACTAGACCATGGCACCAAGTGCCACATCCAGTCTTTCCTTACACACCTCCAGGCACAGTGACTTCACAGGAGCAGCTCCTCACATGCCTTTCTCTGAAGCAGTCCCAGCGTCCTGATTTCCTGCACACGTTGCAAAGTCCTCCCTTTCAGCACATGATGGAATACATTTAGTTTTATTGTGTTACTTACTGGCTTGTATTCCACGGGAGGTGGCTGTGGCAGTTAGTTTGGATAATATTTTAAATGAACAGCAGGGGTATGTAGCAGATATCACCGGTACTTTTTATATTGCAGGGGCAAAATGCCATTCCTAAATTATAAAATAATTCTCCAATATGTTAGAATTTAGTGATCTGAATTTACTTGCTTCATTGTTAGAAAAGCTTCTGTTGAGGACTTCTGGGGCTTTCAGGAAAATTTTAGATGAATGAGATACTAAGATGCTGACTTTGGTTAAAAGGGAACAATAAAGAAAAGAAGAAAAAAAAAGGGGGGGGCAGGCAGATAAAAGGAGAAGAAAAGAAGAAAATCACCAACCTTTTACTTTGGTTTGTACATGTATTAATACTCCAGGGGAAAAAAAAACCCCAACAGTCTTTCATTCTCGGAGTGCTTAATTGGCACCCTGCCTGAAGTGAACCAGAAAATGACTCACTTGGAATGAAAATTGAAAAGATACCACAATTAAACCCGGTGTCTAGAGACAAGAAAAATCTCTGGTGCTGCACTATCTTCTTGTAGTTCAGTTAAGCAATGTCTGTTTCTTGCAGGATACATGCTATAAACACAGTGGCCTTCTGACCTGGTGTACCAGAGTCTGTGCACTGGAAATTAGTGATTTTTGCAATAAGAGAAGTGATTATATTGTGTGTGGGGAAACCAACACCCTTAAAAGTAGAATAAAAACTTGCCATTCTGAGCAAAGTCTTTGTGAAGTAGTCATGGCTTCTATCAGCATTTAATACCCATTGGATAAGAAATATGAAGGTCCAGATAAATGAGGGCAAGAATCTTGGAAGAAAAGCTGAGAGAATGTAGAATTAGAATTTTGAACTGAAAAAAAAAAAAAATGCAGCTATCCTGGGTGCTTATAAGAGCCAAAGACCACATAGGATAGTGAGGGGCTGAGATCTTAACACTCATTTTCTTCTTTTTCATTCATTATATGCACTGAAAATTTCTGAGTTTCCAAACAGATACTCAGACCTGAAGAGCTCCAGGTGAGAGATGCATCTCCCTGAGTTGCTCAGAAACAAAGGCACATATGTTTCCTTTGTAAACACTTAAGGGTTTTTTTATTGCGGGGGTGGGAGGGGGACCAATGACAGACGTCAAGAAGCGCTGGTCAGGACGTGCCCTGCCAATAACACAGGGGGAGTAATGTTCACCTTCCTAGAAGAGACCTCTGTGTTTCAGCCCACTTGTTGCCTGAGTTCTCCTTGCACTGAGCAGGATGAGTATTGAAGTAATACATTATAGTTACTGTAAAATTAAACTGTCTCATGTATCCAGGGTCTCACCGTGATTCCCTGACAGCCTCTTTCTGTGGAGCAGAGACTCTGAAAAGGCCAGGCAGCCCAACCCTACTACTTTGGCACATGGGGTGAATGCTTCCTTCTGTGTGCCCCTGATGGCTCTGTGCATGGTGGGTAATACCTGTGTGAATAGTCTCACAGTTGGTAGGGCTTGTGAACGAGAATTCAGAAAGCTTCTCCTGGAGACTGAGAGAAAGAGGTTCAGTGTCTGATTTCCGCTGTGATTTGCTTAAGGAATCTTTCTTCTTTGGCATGGCATTACTAAGTTTCATTTCTTGCCAGACTCCATTTCCTTGAAAAATGCTGTGGAATTTCCTTGCTGCACCAACCTCCTGGGCTATTCTGGCAGCAGCTTTTCATAGTTGTTTCTCTGCTCACATCAGGTAGATACCGAGACAAGAGCTGACCATTGCTGTTTCGAGCATTGCCTCTCGATGTATTGCATTGTTCTCCTGCCAGGGGGTAGATGCTAAAAGCATCATGGCATAGCACAGTGCATCCTTTTGTGCCTGTTGCTTTGTGGGGAAGTGAATGCCTAGCACACACACTCTCTGCTGGGACAATAACTAGAGATCACTTAGGTCCTGCAAAAGCTCATTAAATGGCGAAGAAACTGCATATCACAGTCATTGTGCAAGGAAGCTGTGTATGTTCTCACGAAGACATCTTTGGGAACACTGGTGGAAGGCTGGGAGATCGACAGGATGAAGATAGGGCTGCAGCACATGGTAATGTGGAAGTTTTGGAATAGACCCAAGCTGTTCTTGGTAGCTTAATTTGGAGCATCTTCTTCAGCTTTTTTGGTTCACAAGCGATAGAGAATCTACAGTTTAGGTAGTCTCAGGGCTGCTTTTAACTCCATAGTGTTTCTCTTGCCTTTTTTCATATACACTATGGGATTATTATTGTTCTCTGTTATATCAATAATTTTAGGGAACCCCCACTGACTGGTGAGTTCAGTAGGCTTACTCTAAGCTTACTCTGATGTAAAAAAGAGTATTTATTGTAATTATTGCTGCTTGAAACTTGCTACATTGCCTGGTGGGCTAAATGAGACTGATTTTGAAACCTATAAAACCTATTTTGGCATATTGAAATTAATTCCCTGCCCAATTAAATTTTTTTCAGTAGTGAGGTAATTCCAGACACATCTTTTTCTCTCTGTGTTTCTTCTTTTCATTATAGCCAACTCAAGAGATAAAAGAACAGCCGTTTCACTGCTTTGCAAAGAATTGTGCTTTCCTCCTGCTTGACTGCCGCCGATTCCACCACCAGGAGGCCCTCGTTCCAGTGCTTACGGCTAGGCAAAGAAAGCACAAGGACAGCAAAAAGAGGTAGAGAAACCTATCCCCACAGGAGTAATCTGAAATTAATACTTATCTATAAACATAGATTTTCAGAGTACTGTGCAGGCATCTATTATTAGAATCTCTTTTATTGCAAGAATCCTAATATCCCACTATTAGTTGTACTGTAACTTCTGGGAATAATGGAGTGTCACAGATGGTATCCCTGCATTGAATCCCTCAGTGACAGCCAGGAAAGTTCATGCCTTTGTCTTCTGGATAGTAAAGCTCTTAGTGACCTAAGTAAAATAATAAAATGAAGTAAAGCACAGGTTTGACTTCTAGTCACTCCTGTCTGCCCTCTATTACCCAATGAATATGCCTTCCCCTTCTTTGCCTCTGCCTTCTCTCTTTTAGTTACTTATTCCTGGGTTCTTAATTTTCTTTCACTTTTCACAGCTGGCTTTTATTGTCTCTGAAAAGTTCTAAATATCTGCACTAACAGTCTGTCTGATTGTTCTGTTTTGCTAACATGACCTTTAAAGAAAGGGGGAAGGAGAAATGTTTTCATCCTTTCTTTTTTACCAAATCATGTACTTCTTTCCTTAATTATTGGCTCTTCAAAGCTGCAATCATTGCTTTGGCTGAAATGTAGTTTTTGTTATTCAAAAGAACAGTGTGTCCGTGATCTCTTAACTAAAAAGTGTTTAGAGTTGCCTTTTTTTTCCCTTAAATCCTATTTTTTTCTCTTCATTGCTGAGTCAAGCCTTGTATATCTGCTTCTGTGCTGGTTTCCCAAGATCATGTTTCAGTGCTGATGAGTCCAAGACACAGCTTTGTAATGCAATTTCAGAATGGATGATAGGTGAGAATAGTTTTGCTCCTTGCAGGAAATGTGGCTCCTGCAAACTGTAGCCCCTTCTCTTTCAAACCCAGTTCCCGCCCTCCTTCCCTGAATTCACACATATGCATTTTACATGTTTACATTTGTCTATTTGGACCTTTTCTTATATGTACTAATGTGTAAAACACATATCCTCTGCTCTAAGAAGCAGAAAAAGCATAAATGAAGCCACGATGATGTATGCAAAGTTCCCAGGCCTCTGAGGTTTTCCGATCACCACTCACCGTTCTGGCCACACTATTCACTTAAAAGAGTTTACACAAATACACAGGCAGTTGAGCCACTCACGCACTCTGGAAAAAATCCATCACTTCCTGACAGAGTTTGCCACGAGGCTGTCCTTAGTGACTGGGAGACTGAAGGCTCAGAGAATACGTGCTGCTCACACAGCAGTGAAAGCTCGTGTTAAGCTCTATTTCACTCTGTTCCTATTACCTGGCTACTCTTTGCTTGCTTCCACATCTGTATTTTCCTTCTTCTTTTTGTCTCTTACTTTCACAGTCATCTGTTTCCATGGATCACTTAACATGTCCTTTCTAGGAAATGATGAAATATTAAACCTCCAGTCTGTAAGTTCCTGATGAGCGGATGCAGGGAAAGGGAATACCAGTGAAAGGGTCTCAAGGATCTCTGCGTATGCGTTGGTGTTTTGTGCTCTATTGTAACCCTTCACAGCTGGCAGATGCTGGAGACAAGATGTTCAGCCTTCAGGCTTTGCTGCTGTGTTGTTTATAAGGGAGAGCAAACAGGGCCTGTATTCTAAATCCCCTTCTAAGCTGATTTTATATCAGGCCATAGGTGAACATCAGCTGTGCTTTGTCCATAAAAACAAGTGAGATACTGTGAAGCTCAATGCGTATAGCACACTATGGAAATCGGAGAGAAGTGCTAAATATTCTTTCTTCTTCCATGTTCTTTCACTGTTCCTTCTATGCCTTCACTTAGGCATGCTATGAACTCCAAGAACTGGAGACTATTCTCAGCTGGAACCAGAAAAATTCAAGATGAACAATCCGCTGTCACCAAAGTCGTGGGAACACTGATGTAAGCATTCTCCCTAGATCCCGCTATTGAAAATAAGAATTTCATACCCAACCTGGGTGGTCATTTTTCTCCCCAGGATGCCTTGATCTATAGGTCTTAGTCTGCACTAATTCTTTGTGTCAGAAAGGTATGCCTGTGGATAGCCTCTTACCAAAGGCAAAAATTGAAAGTAATGTGGTCTTTAGATGATGTGGTGTCTGCAGCAACATGACAATGGACTGTTTGGCCCAGTCCTTTCCAGTTCTGGGTATCTGCTGTCAGCTCTTGTGGTTGCTTTTCAGGCTTTTGAGGAATGCAGAATACTGGTCACCAATGGTCTGCGCTACCCAAGGGACAGCAATTTAGAACCCATTCCTATGAGGCCTGGGAAGGCCAGGTATAGTAGTATTTAGAGCAGTAAATGTGAGATTTGGTTGTTTTTTGTTTCCTGTCTTAATTCTGTGTTGTTTCCTGGCATAGCAAGGGATGCAAATATGAGACATACCAGGATCAGGTAGAAAGTGGTCTTGATAGCTCAACAGTTGCCATGTAAGTAGTTGTACCTTGTCAGTGTGTTCAGCAGCAGTAAAGCAGGATCTTCATTAGTTCACAAGGGAAAGCAAACCCTGAAAATAAAAATTTTGAATTTGCATTGAATGCCCAAGCATAATGAGCCTTAATGGAGGGTGCTCTCTCTGCATAAACTTAAAATAAAACATAAACTAAGTCTTGGATTCTAAACTTAGGAACTGTGTTTTTCACTCTGCCTCCCTTCCCCAGATTCCTTCAAGATGACAAGCAGTCCAGAGAAGACTGGTAAGCACTCTGTACAAGAATGCAGGATAAAAATATATTCACAAATATGTGCAGCCAGCAAGTGGATGTGTCACAGAAGCTAAGGCTTTCATTAGAAGGAGTCATTACTCTTAAGGAAACTTTCCAGTCTGACCATTCAGGACCTACTCTGTCAGTCACACTCGGACCAAAGCCCTTTTGCGGCGGGTGGCTCCTCGGAGTCAATGGGTGCCTCGCCTGACTCCCTACACATCCCACACTCACACAGTCAAACCAGGTTTCCTTACTGGCTCAAGCCAGGGTTTCCCATAGCAGAGGCTCAGACATCTGGATCCTTAAAATAATTTAATCTTTGTGCAATTACAGAATGACAGCTTGAGTGTAGTGCCTCCAAGGAGGGACCCCAAACAAAGGAAGCCCTGGGTTTTTATCCCCTCACAGTCTTCACAAAAAAGTCCTCAGCAGGTGTTTATTCATCTTAATTTCAAACACATGCCCCACAAGCACCTGTTGCACTTGCTCTTCAGGGATTTTTGCTCATTGAAGGTCATCAGTTCCCCAGACAACACTCGCTGCCTATATTGTACTCTCCGACCAAGATCCAAGATACAGCAGACATTTCCTTTCGAAAAGAAGTAAGAGAAGAATGTGATATAGGGAAGTTTATACTTAACCTTGACTGTGCACCAAGTGCTTAAATATTGTAAAGAATCTCATCTTTTTAATGGGAGGGAAGGCATGTCATATTTAGAAAGTGGCTCCCAGCTCACACATCTGTGTAATTTGATTCAGTTTGGAAATAAAAGCAGATGAAAATCTGAGTCTCTGAAGATTTAAATCTTGTCAGCCTGAAAGAAAGCGAAATTGTTTTCATGGGTCAGCAGACAGGCTGTTCTCACAATTCACTCATTCATTTACTGCTGAAGTAATGTGCTACTTCAGTTCCAAGATTAAACAACTGGTAGTGATAACTTGTTGTCAGGGATCGTGTCAGGATGTCAAGCCTTGTGTAGAACACAGGAAAGCTAGTAATGGAAATTGAGACAGGTGAGCCAGTGTGCAATGGGCTGCAAGTAGCGATAATCAAGTCAGTAAAAAATGGGGATTGCAGCATCCAAAACAAATATCCAAATTTGATATTTAGTCACCTAGATAAGTCATGACACTCTCTAAAATGCTCCATAATAAGCATTTATCTTGCAGGCAATCGGAACTGCAGGCACTTAAGCTTTTGCTGTTTAATTATGAGCGTCTAATTTAATTTCTGGTTTGATTTCTTGGGACCTGGATGACCTAGATGATGGACTATAATGCAACAGCATTACCACTATACTTGGATACAGAATAGCAAATTACTTTGAAATGTCTAATAGAAATTCACTGGATCTTTAGACATGGTTTTTGTCAGTGGTTTAGGAGAAAGAAAATAATGCTTGTTTGTCACACAAAGAAAGGAAAGGTTCTAAGCACAGAGAGCAAAGAAAGTAAGGGAGAAAATAAAAAACCAAGAGAAAGATAGTTGGGCAAAGTGGCATGGAAAAATTATGAACAGCGGAAGAAGTGGTAGTGGATAAAGGTACACAGAGGCTGCATTGAATCGGAGGCTGGAAATGCTGAATTGGATACAGAAGCCAGTGAGATATTTAAAGCCAGTGCTGATAGAGTCAGTAATTTATTTCTCTACAAATGCTTTGAAAAGAAACTGAATTATATTGCTCTTAAATTGAAGTTAAGAACAATGCCAATATTGTTCAGCACTTTGTGGTTTTCTGGTATTGTACATGTAAGTGAGGAGGGGAGGTGGGATGGGGAGAAAAAACAGGTAATCACTCACAAGCCTGTCTGTTAAAATCTAGAGCCTTTGAAAACAAGCTGGCAGGAAATTAGTTATTCTCCCTAAAGTCTGAAATTAGGTTTAGCAAATATTTTCTTCTATAATTACTCACGCTGCAGATGACTTCTCTTGGCATAACACACAACTTACTCAGTTTGCAATTTGCTGATTTCTACATATTTTTGTAATGGAAGTTTGTGCTGTCACGTCTGTCAACAAGTGGAAGCAACATCTTCTGCTTCTCTTGACCAAGCTAAATTGAGTTTGGTTTATTTTTTATTTTAATAGACATTATTAGAGCAATGCTGCTGGAATCCAGGTCAGTTTTTCTTCTTTGGAATTCCTGCCTGTGCTTATATTTAAGTATGATCGCAGTGATACTGCCATGCTGCCAGTCACATTCCTCCTGCCACAGTCAGGGGTCTTGCCATTATAGTTTTAGAAAACTCCCCCTTACCAGTGCTGCTTTATCTCTGTGGAGTGGCAAGGGGAAAACACATTTCACTGAGGAATTATGGGAGGGGATATTTGGGAGAGATTAGTTTGCTTATAAAACTGGCTTAGAAAAATACAGTAACCATGTGATGTTAGAACCGTTTTTTTACCCAGATCCACACACTGAAACACACAACTGTGTTGTGCTTTATTAATTTTTTTAAAGCAGTTTATAGAGTCAATACATCTCGAGGGAAGAAATGTTCCAAAATTGTTTCTGTTGGAGACAGCTCACTTGGCTGTGAGTTTTATGAAATAGTTCCATCAGTTACTCTTTACTAGGTAAAGGCATTACCCTGGTGTCACTGCTATTTTGGAAGCCTACAATTGCCTTCTATGACCCTGAAATTTCTCCTGCCATTTCAGCAGGAGAGGATGTTTTTACTTCTTTTCCCATGACTGCAATGTGATTCTGCTAGCACTACTGGCTGCCCTAGAAACAGCTATATTTCACTTGGGGATGGGCTAGACTTTTTAAAAGGAATATATGAGAATTAAGGAATTAATCCTACTATCGTGGTAAATTTCTGAAATTTTTTCTGCCTTTCATTTTTCTTGAAGAAACTGAGACACGGAGAAGCTTCTAGCAAGTACCAACCTCATCAAACAAGCAAAGTCTTCCAAGTCCAAACAGGTAAAATACAAACCAGTGACTTTTCCATGTACAGAATGGAGAAAAAATGGTAAAATACTACTTCTTTTACTAAGAATTTGCAGGCTTGTTGTTGTGAAGACCTTTGCTAGGCTATAATATGTGCTCACCATATGAGTGTGTGTACATAGATGTGTATGTGTTTGTCAATCCTAGACCCATCACAGCTGGGACCCATCACAGCTGCTTGTGTGCACATGTTCTTTTGTGTGCCTAGTTAGTGCAAATAACTTCCTTAGGTATTCCTTGGATTCACTGACATGTACTAGGCAAAGGGAATACGGACTGCTGATGTTTAATATTTCAGACCTCCACACCCAAGATGCAAAGCTTGAAATGGATAAGAAGAAAAGCATTTGGAAGCAGTCTCAACATATGCTTGAAATGAGAAGACTAAAAATAGCACCTCATTCTAGAGAGGTGATGCAGTGTTTGGAGAAGGAGATGATGTCATAGATGGAGTTAATTTTTCTCTCTCCAGCGGACATAGCTGATCTTGTTGGCACCCAAATATGCCCTACAATACAAAAAAAAAAAAAAAAAAGATTCTTAACGGTAGTTGCTCATATAAAGGCAATGTGGAAGTGGGATTGCTTTGCACATCTTAATGTTGGGTTTTTGTCAGTTTTTCTGCACAGATTCTGTCCCTAAGCCGCTAAGGTCCCTTGCCTGTGCCCCCTTAAAGCCTTCTGTCTTACTGGGAAGAATGGGTGAGAGGACTTTACTCCTTTTGCTGGAAGCAGGTCCTCTAAGAGACCTTAAACAACTTCTGTTGCATTGAAGGCAAGTACAGCTTCCAAACCTTTGTGCTTTGGATATATTTTTAGTCTCATAATTATGACAGTTCTGAAGACTGTAGCTTTGTTTGCTTCTCAACGGGCTTCCTTCACCAGTTGTTCTTTGGGAATTTCAATACAGTGTTGGTGACAAACTATATACTGCTTACTTATTGTGCCTGTATCAGGAATTTCCTTCCCTGCCTTTTTTCCCCTATCAAATATACTTGAATTCCTCCTGAAGCAACACCCAGAAGAGTCCTTCGCCCAGACAGTTCAGACTCCTGAGCTGATTTATAGGTGCTTTAACTTTAGAGAGAGTTCTTCAAGGCCACTCAGTCGTTTCTTACAAATGGCTGGGATGCAAGACTGTTGTTGCTCTCTTCAGCTTCTTATCTCCAATTTGCTTTTGCTGCATAAGCAGTGTAATAGTTGAGGGTGGGGAATAGTGACTGGTCAGTTGGGGACATCTCATGGCGGCAGTCCAATACTGAATACTATTTTGAAATCAAATATTTGAGCGTCGTCTGATTTCCTTCTTGTCAGATACTCACTGTCCTAAGAACAGAGGTCATGTGTGAAATTTGGCATCAGAAACTCTGACCTATTCCTCTGTCTTGGATTGCCTGGCTGTTAAAACAGGAAGTGGTGCCTTAATAATACAGTGGAAAAACAACAGTGAGGGATAGACAAAACAGGAAGAAAGATTGCACTAGGAAATACTGGGATATATTGAACCCCAGTGGGATTTGTTATTGAGTGGTAGTTGTGCATCTGCACAGAGTTTCAAAGACACAGGTACATCATTTATAATCACCATTCAGCAAAAACACAAGGAGGGGAGATTAAAAGCCTTTTTTCAAATATGGACACAGAAATGTTTAATAAAGAAACTCTATTCCAGTAAGGCTGATAAAGAAACCATGGTAATGAAAGGAAAGAAGAACAAGGGATTAAACAAGAATAATCAGGCTAATGGATCTCTGAAGTTTAAAGGTTCAAGATTGAAAAAATTATTAGCTTGAACATTACTGAAAATTAAGGTTCTAAGTGTAGCAAAATCAAGGAAACACAGTATTTTAAAGATCATTACAATTCCTGAGACCTTTAAATATTATTATAAAGTAAAAATAACTGTATGATGATGCACTCAATGCCTATCTAAGTTTTGGGATTTGAAAACAGTACTGCTTATGATGTCTTCTGGCCACTAGCCTGGCAAACATATGGAATACAAATGGAGCAACATTGGGGGTTTTTTTGTAGTTTACACACAAACTCACTTGCAGAAGCAGCAGGCAAAGCCAAGAGTAGAAAACTGGCCAAATAAGAGCATGTTCAGTTCTGAAATATGATTGGTTTAAAAGAAAAGCTGATACTGACTGAGAGGCTGAACTAGAAAACCTTAGCTTTTCCAAACTCATAAGGAACGTGGAGACACTGTGAAAATGATTCATTTTTCAAGTAGAGGCTCTTCAAAGTTTGGAGCTTTTTTTTAAATGAAGAAATGTCTCGAATACTAGTGCTGAACCTCTTCTAAATGTGAATTTAAAAATGTTTTTTTCCTGTAAAATGCCATTTTTGATGTGACCAGTGAATTCCGCTGTGACCTAGAAATTTAAAATTTTCTATCAGCTGCACTTTAAATACATTCTTCTTTCTGAAGCATGCCAATGAAAAAGCTGTCCTGAGCACAAACAGAGCAGTGTACTCAAAGTCATTATTTACCCTACTTGACAACAGAAGCACTCAGTTTCTGTGAGCTGGAATGCATTAAAGGGGAAAAAAAAACATTCAATGATTTATGCTTTTTTGAGCTGTAACACTGAAAGCTCTGCTGTCCTATGTTTGGTGGACAAAGCTGCTTTGCTTCATGTCTTTTTCAAATTAATTTTCAATTCTGGTGTGTGAATAAGTTAGAGAAGCACTGATGCTTTTGGCCATAACAGCTAAGACAGTATTTGCAGTACTTCCAGCTTGTTTGTATTAGGAGTCGGAATTTCTTTGGTGTCAAGATTACACACAGAGTCCTGTGTTCTGCAGCATGGCAGATGCATCCGTGAGCAATTTTCTTGTTTTAACTCCCTTTCTGATGAGTTATTGCAGTTAAATCAAGTTTTCTGACTCAGCTTCCTGCTAAAGTAGTAACCCCTGTTGCTTCTCTCATTTTCTCTCGTGCACTAATGTGTTCAGCTGCCACCAGGCAAATTCTACCCCCTGTATTTGCATTCAGTCCCAGAGAAGTCCCTCTGTCTAAAAGAATGGTGAGAGTCCACTAAATGGCAAAACTGATCCAACACTGTCTCTCTTCCCCATCTCCCAGCTGCCTGATCTCCTCTTTTCTTCTTTATTGTTGAGATAAACACCTGAGGGAATACAAATAGGGAAAATGCAAAGCATAATGCCCTGCTGGGTTAAAGCAAAGATCTGGCTCACTCTGAGGGCTGGAATGTTGGGTGTTAGGGCAGAGTGGGAGCCCGGCCATGCTCTATAGTCTGATAGGCCTAGCCCTGGTGCCAGACTGGCCATGTGATGTACTTCATTCCCTTGGGGGATGGCTTCCCACTTAATCTGCGAGCAGAGGAATATTTAGCCAATTCTTCTGGTTTACTTAGTGAAATGAAGATATTCACCCATGGACTTTAACCAGGCCTATGACTGAGCTTTAATTCAAATGCAAGCTTGTCAGTGTCATTGTCACCAAATTTGAGGACTGATAACAGTTTCATATCAAATAAATTTTACTATTGCTTTCCTCATCCTGCTTTTATCTGATCTTGGAGGTCAATTCAAATGAAAAAGATATATGTAACTGCAATTACTACTCCCACTTAGCTATATATGTGGGCAGTCTTATTTCATAATTAGTCTGTTACTTCTGTTTATCATAAAGTTAATATTAAGCTGAAGTAGAAAAAAACAAAAATCTATGTATGTGGAGTTAGTCAAGAGCAGTTATTTTGGCATTTGCAACAGCTGTTTAGAAAGCTCTCACAGTTTAAAAAAAGACCTGTACTTCCCAAAGTATACATTTCATGATTCAGACTAATATATTTTACTGACTGCATTTCATTTTTTTTCAGTAGAGATTTTTGTGCAGAGATTGATAAACTGTAGAAGGTCACAGCACCGGCCTCTCAAGCAGAAAGAAATGTTGAACATTAAAAAGCTGCTTTAAAAAGATATATTTTTAAAGTAACTATTAGCATAGGTCAGAAATATGCTCAGTGATAAGATTTTTAAAGGACTGAATTTTAGCTGCAACCAGGCAGCAATGCACTGGCAGCAATGCACAGGCAGCTGCAACCATGCACTTAATCCATGTCTGTCCATTCTGCTACTGATCTGCTTGTTAGCTCAGGTAATCCTTGAGTTTCCTCTAATTTATCAGCTAATAGTGAAAATAAGAAGTATGTCAGAGACTAGTTAGTGACACTCAACAGTTTGCTCCTGGGCAAAGAGGAAACACATCTTATGTATAATTAAAGTCAGAAATTTATTGTTAGTGTAATTGAAATCTTGAGAGTTGGATGATTATTGATCCAGATACAACTTATAGAAAGAATAACAATACAAGACTACTTCTATAAAATGGTAACACATACACTTCTTGGATTCTACCTCTTTTCCTTGTGTTTCACTCATCTGTCCACTCTTCCTGTGAGTCATAAGGTTGGTGGTTTCTTTCTGGTGTGTGGGTGATATGGGGAGTTGTCAGCACCTGGAGTCCTTTGCTGGGAGAATATGATCTTCATGTTGGTAGTTTCTCCTTCCTTACTCTAAGATACACTTGGTGTAATTTTTTATATGCTTGCTAGCACACATTTACAGCTTTCTTCATTGCTCTGCAGTGGCACACTATATCTGATTTTATGGTATGTGGTGCCCATTACATATGTTAGCTGTTATTTTTTTTGTTCTCTTTGTTACCCCTAAATCCAGTTCCATGTCAGTATTTCTTTGACTGATCACTGGTGAGTTGTTCATAGCCATCCTGTCTGCAGGGCCAAGCCTGTGCCTCACCTGTTACATTTACATCCCTGTACTCCTCTGCCCACCTTGTGTCCCCACTTTTCAAGGCCTCTGCTATTGCACCACGCCTGTATTTCTCTACACTGCATGCTTGTGCTAGTCATAACTCTCTTTCAACACAGAATAACTGTTTGTTACTTCTATTTATATAAAATGATGACTGTACCACACACAGATAAACAGAAGTAAAACAAATTAGCCATAGACCTTGTTAGTTATGGAAACTGCTGTCACAGCTAACCAAGTAAAAGATACAGAAGGGTCAAGAGAAGTTCAAACAAAGCAAACCTGACAAGCCCCAGTCCTGAGGCCTTGCAAATTCAGTACAAAGGTTATGGCAAATTACTGTATTACAAGGCTGCATGGTTACAGGGTTTTAGACTCAAAAAGTCACGAGCAGGTAAGAGCAAGCTGTACACACTACCACATCATCCATCAGGTTAGGCTGGTTTTTTTAGAACTGGTTATGCTGGCATTTTTTCTCTTTTGGGGAAGAAAAAACATGAATGCAAGACTTAGAATCTCAGTTATCTGAAATTTTAAAACTAGAGGCTAGTTCAAAGAATACTGCATATTTTTACAGATAAAATTGCATGGCATAGTGAAGTGGAGAAAACAAGGGTAATGGCAAGGATAGCCAAGCAGTGGAATTGTCTGATTCTTTCTCAAAAGATGAAAGAAAACCCACAGCCTCCCCAGGCAAACAAACATCTGATTCAGCTTTGAGCTAGATAATCTCTTGATGTTGCTTTCAGTCCTATTGTTTTCTATTACTAGTCTGCTTTTTTTACCTTAAATAAAAAACTCCTTGTGCATTCTCAAAAGGGACAGCTTTTCTTATGTCTTTTGTCTTTTTGATAGACCATATGTGATATACTGATGCATGTCTCCATAAATCCTCTAACTTGGCTTAGGTTTTGCAAAGCTTAAGAGTGGCCTTGTTTTCCCAGTTTGCTTTTTTTTTTTTAATAAAGAATCGCTAATTTCATAATCTTTTATTCAAATAGTGAATTTTATGGTGCTTGGACTGCTATCACTTACTGTATTTGTATAGCTGACATACAGATTATTTCTTTTTCATTTAGAAAAATACCCATTCATGAATTCTCTGGTTGATGTTTTGATATTATGTTATCTTTGGCATCTTTTCTTCTCCAGTCACATATAATTTGTTGTGTTCCCGACTTGACCTGGCACCTGTTTAATATCAATGGGCACAGCCCTCTAATTCATCATTTCCTCCATAGCTGCAATTCTGAACCATGATCTGGACAAGACATCTTGAGAAACAGAAGGGAGATCTCTAATCCTATAACATATCCTTAGTGATTAACTCAAAGTAAATTAGAGGCAGCAAAATCTGTGTCTTTAATGCAGGATCACTCTCAACACTGTAGGATTGAGTACTTTTTCAAGGCTTTTTTAAAGATCTCAAGACTGCAACAGAGACATAACTGTCTCCCACTACCATTTCTATTCCTTCCATTAATTCCATTTTAACAATAGAGCTCTCCTGTCTGAATGGTGAAGCTTGGCTGATCTGATATTTTTGCCAGTCCCCGAGACCCATTGTATGCACACAGCTTTTGCAGTTCATCTTAGTTCTGACCAAAGAGAAGGAAAACACAGGCAGAGTTATTTCCTTCATGTAAAACCTCAGAGTCTACCCCAACATATGCAGGCACAGTTTCAGTCATATTCCCAAGATGGACATGGAATTCAAGGAACTGTACCAGAGAGACTGCAGATAAACGAGGAATTTGGACATGAAGCAGCAGGAAGATAAGCAAGAATTGCATAAGTACAAAAAATTGTGTGGATTCATCCTACCATGTTCTGATAACCTGATTCAATTCTGCTATTCTTCTCTTTTGCTAATCTGGTATGCTTTTAGACTATGCTAGTCTAGTATACTTTTGCTAGTATAACCCATTAGCTAACGGGGTTTTCAGAAGAGCTTTCAGGTGTGAAGAAAGAGGAGAGAGTTACAATCTGTGGTGTGAGTTAGTATAAATTCCATGGGGCACATTTAAACAAGGTGGCCTTTCCCTGATACTGACCAAGACGGAATCTGTGTTTGAGCTTCCTCACAGAAAGTTTTTGGCAGATTGTTTTTTGGAAGCAGTGATTGTTCACTATGATGTGACTAAGGGAGTAGCTAAAGTGACACAGCATTGCATAGCTACCATGATTTCTGGATTTGGGTAGTTTTGGGAATATAATAGCTAACCTAACTTCCAAGGTGGTGCTGCTATTTACTCTGTATATTCCTTTCCTGTAAGAGAGTTTTTTGCCTTGTTAATATTTGGATTGTCTTTGAAATATTCAGTATCCTTTCTCCCTCTCTCATCTGCTTTCCCTCCCCACCTCTCACCCCCAACATGGATTTTACAGGGGAAAAAATCCAAACAATGGTAGCTAGAGAAGGGAGAGCTGAAGAATATGAAGAAATTGCTGCACCTTTACCCGGAAGCATTCTGCAATTCTGGGAAGATTTCAGATATCATATTATTTTATCCTGGTTAGGAACAGGCAAACTGTCAACTCGAAAGTTCAGAGAAGGCATTAGCTCCTATATTTGACTTTAGTCCATTTGAGCAACATAAATATGGATCAAAACCAGGTAATCAAAAAAGAAAAAAAAAAAAAAACAAACCAAAAGCTCAAACCCAAACAAAACCCACCACCACCAACAAAAAAGCCCTTATCATTTCCCTGTTCTGGATACCTAATACTTTTATGGTAAGGTTTTGACTTGGGTCTTATCTTGTCCAAACTGGTACACGATCCCACATAAGAGGAAATGCAGATAACAGTGGGGTGTCTCATTGCCAGTACCTCACTCCCAGCTGCAGATGCACTGGTCAGCAGCAGAACATGTAAAAGGGAAGGAGCAGACTCCAGCACACCTCCACTCACCTGGCCGGTGTGTAGCAGGATGGGGTATGTAGGGTTATTGCACAACACCAGCTGGAAGCCAAATGAACAATTAATGATCACACAACATTTTGAAGCTGTAGAATGGAATTTATTGCCCAAAGTAGCACTTTGGAGTGGGAAATAATCTTCAGATTCTGTGCGTTCATTGACCTTTCTGGGAACTATTTTCCAAACTAAAAAAATAATGAAGGGAAAGTTGTTTACAGAGACATTAGCTGTAGCAGAGGTGCTCTGTAAGACCAGAAGGGTCACTCTCTGCATGTGCATTCTGTTCTGGAATAAAAGCATACTTTGTGAAGGAATTCGCCTTTAAAGGGCTGCCTGCCTAAGTGCTCTTCTGGAATAGCTCTTGTGGAATAATGCAGTTTTCAAAAGCAGTGCCAGCCGGTTCCTCAATATAGACAAAGCCTCAGGGCTCCCAGGATTAGACTTTTGGTACTCATGTAAATTGCTTGATGTCTCAAATGGGGACCCTGCAAGCACTCCTGTGGTGTGCTGATGATGGCTGAGGGCTGTGGGGTTTGTTGCTTGGTTTCCTGACTTGGCTAAGAAACAGCTTGGAAAAAGTGCCCTTAACCTCCCACAGACGAAGGGTGGGTAAGTTTTCACAAACACCTTGAAACAGGCTGAGAATGTTGCTCCCATCCCTTCTGCCATTTCAAACCCACGCAAGGGGTGGCCAGGAACTCCTCCTGCTCACAGGAATCCGTGGATGTCTCCTTGACATGCAGTCCCGTACTGACTGTGCTACCAGAGGCAAGCTAAAACGGGTAATTGCTTTCCACATACTGCCTCCAAGAAGACTGCAGATGTCTCAAAGTGTTCATATACTAAAAAGCACCTTTTCCATCCTTTTAAAATGGCAGATTAAGTCATGTGTGTGACTCAGCCTCATTTTCTTGTCCTGTGACTTCAGGCAAGTCACTTCTCTTCCAGCTTCTGACGGGTTTTGGGCATCCAATCCAAAAACGCCGTGTGCCTTGTTTAGGAAGATGCGTGAGTGGCACCCTGGAAAAACAAAGGCAGAACGTGTTGAATTGAATATCCTGCTAATCAATGCCATTCCATGGTTTTCACTAAGGCTGCCTTTCCCAGCTGTAAAACAAGGGCAATGCAATATTCCTTAGACAGAGCGAGTACATATTTCATAAATCATAGATGATGAAGTGATTAAAGACAGTGATTAAAATGTATTTCAGCGCTGAAATACCGCGTTATAACGGGGCTGAGGGAAGGGACGGCCCCCATTCCTGCCAGGGGCCCGTGCCCTCCCTCACGGCCCCGCCCCTCGGTGCCGGCGGGAAAGCGGCGGGTCGGTGCCCTCAGGAGGAGGAGGGCGAGAGGCTGTGGGGAGTTTGGAGCCTTCGGCCTGGGTACTGTACCTACCCGCTCCCGGAGCTGCCCGGGCATGAGCTGGGGTTTCGTTATTGTTGTAATTTTCGTGGGGAATTACGGTGCTCGGCGGGAGAGGGAAATTCTGCGGTGCCTCACCCCTTGGGAACAGAAATGTACATCCTATGCGAAGGCAGCTGGCAAGGAAAAAAAACAAATAAATCCGTGTGTTGATAGGCGATTAATCACTTATTTTCCTCTGAGTCAACAGATGTGAGATCACACACACCGTGGTGCCCCTTGGGGCAGGTCGGATCGCCTCCTGCCCCTGGCCCAGGGGGTCGAGCTCTGCTCCAGCCATTTTCTGTCAGTCCAAAAACCCAAGGGGAACTGCTGGGACCAGGTCCCTGTCACACCTGCAGCCTGGAAGGGGTGCAGCATCCAGGTCTTCATCACTACTCTTGGGCACCTGAGGTGGCACAAGATTGATGGTGTTTCTTCATAGATTTGCTCTTTTGTCTCAGACTTTTACCCTTTTATCTACTACGTTGCAGGCTGTGGTGACTGAAATCCTTCAGGTGCGCCAACACACCAGCAGCAGGAGGACCCTCCACTGAGCAGGAGGATTTTGTTCATACCTAAATTTTTTAGTGGGGTGAGGTATAATTTCTCTGTTTTCCCTTGTAGCCTGCAGGAAGGCACTGGTCTGGGTCTGCCTTGTTTTTCTGCTGTGAGATGCCAATTGCCTCAGGATGGGGAGTAGGAGAACGATCCCGTGACCTGCTGAGCGTTATTGAAGTGCAGGATTATGTGCATTTCAGGAGGATGTTTCTAATGAAGAAGGGGATTGTAATATAGTTTTAATACCTTTTGCATTACTTGTTTTTCTTCCTTCAGTATTTGAAGTTAAGGATTTTTAAAAATCTCTTATTTTTTAATTAATGTTTTACTGTAATTATGCAAAGGCATGGTTTGTCATTCCATAATTGTCAGTGTTCTGAAACAGAAATGAAATATAACCTGACACTATCAGATACAACTGATTTTATAAGAATATTTCCATTAAGTATTAACAGAAGATAATACTAAAATTCTGATATTTTCTTTCTCCCTTTCCCAGCCTCTGTATACAGAAGATTCTTCCAAGCAAATTAGGCAGACCTTAAATATCCATTTAGAAGCTAAAAAAAAGGCTCTTTGCAGATATTTAGCCTAAACTATCCTGACCTCTGTTAGACTCCCAAATCTTACAGTTAGAAAGGATGAGCAAGTAAATATATACACATATCTGGATGAGATGGTTTACAAAACTTTTGATCAGCCATAGCTAGAGCAGCAAAGGTAAACTCACAATTAAAACAGAAGCAACTTGCCCATTTACAAAAGAAAAAAAATGATTACAGGTTATAAGGTCATATTTCTAGGGAACTACTTTGTATTTATTTTTCTTGCATTCATACAATTTAAGGAGGTCATATTTTGCTTCTTGTTTAACCATGCTATCACTAAGGGCCTGTTCCCGTTCTAGGCCTTGCTTATAGGAAGTCACATAGAGAGGGCAGTGAAACAGTGGTGAAGCAGAGACATGGCAAGTTAAGCATGAAAAAACTTGACATGAGCTCTCTGTACATGGTTTTGCATAGTAAAAGCCTCAGATTTTTATTACCCTTCCTTTATTCTTTTTATGCAAGCATACTCCTTACAGGCATGTCTTCAGCATTTATTGGTCATTCTGAACCTCGGCAAGAACTTCAAAACAAATAGAGCTTTAATAGCCTACTCTCAAGATATATCACTAAGGAGTTGTAGCCTTCTCAGTAGCACTGTTTTGTGGGTTTTCTTTCACATAAAGATGGGGAAGCTGAGCTGTTGCACAGCCTTTCCATTAACCATTCTGTCTGTAACTATGCTGACTTTTGCTATAAAAATACAGGCTGCCTTTAGCATTCTTACCAGAATAAATTCCAATAATGATAAATCATTTTAAATGTTTCCCACCTCCAAAAACTTGTCTCTGACCCAAGATTCTCACATGGGAATGAGATCTCTTTTCCTAATACCTGTGAAGCTCCTTTCTAGCCAAACTGGTTCATCTTAGAGTGAAGGAGTAGATTTTCTCCTTTTGGTCTGATATATCAGATAATGAAGAGTTGGAAGCAGAATCCAAGTTTAAATCCATATATGATGACATACTGACAAGTTTCTGTAGTTCAAGGATTTCTTAAAAGTACTTTTACAATCATTTACTCATTTATTGCCTCCCCAATACTGTCTTTGCTTGTATTTCCCAGCAGTGATCAATACTTTATTGCCTGCTCTTTCACAATGAAGGCCATGGAGGATCAAGTAGTCCAAGAAGAACCAGGATACCAGGATGATGAGGTAAATTTAAGGTTGGTTGGAAAATATGAGCAGCAAATGTTGTTTGAAAGTAATTTGATAGTGTTAAGAAATCAGTGGAGAGACAGGAGATCCCCAAAGACCATCAGGGAGTTCAATGTGTTTGAAATTTTGCTCTAATCTATTACCAAGAAAATCTCATTCTCTTAGTCCCTGTACAACCTGGCTCTTCAAGTACTCTTCGTTAACCTTTCAAAAGCTATGCACAATTTTTAATGAGATTATCGTTATTTCTTTATATTTTGTGCTTCTGTATTAAATGCAAGGGGATATCAGTTAATCTTACGCTTCCAAGGAATGGTCATCGCCATGAAAAGACTGAGAAACTGTGTCAGAAAAGCTCTAGATGATGATGATAACACAAGTTTTATTAGCTTAGCAGAGGATTAATTGCCTGTGAAGTTACACTTTATGGAGAAGGTGATAGGAAATATTAAGGCCTTTTTGGCTCGCTATGGCTTTGCCTATTTCAGTTGCCCAAGAAGTTAAGTATTATTGAGGAAAATCAATAGAAGTTTACAAATTTGAAACAGACACATAATGAGATACACATAATAACAAGAAAATAACAAGAAAAACAAAAATCTATTTTTTTCCTGCTATTTTTTTTAGGAATCCTTTTTTCAGGATATTGACCTTCTACAGAAGCATGGAATTGTAAGTATTAGCAATCACTTGACCACACAGAGTTGTGCATGTAAAGATGTTGTAAGGTTATTTCCAAAATTGTATGCACATTGATGCAAATAGCTGAAATTCCTCCTTGCAGTACATTCTAACTCAGTCATGTGGAGACAAATTTTGCCTCTGGTTATAAGACAAATTTTTAGAAAATCTCGTTCACATCAGATTCCTAAATAAAGTGGCAAGACACTCAAACTATTTAGCACCTAGCACTCTTGAAAAACCAACTGCTTGCTAATTTATTTGAAAACTGTGTGATAGATTATTTCCTGTTCCTGCCAATCTTTGTAATTACTCCTGCATTTCTGGTGCCTGTGAGATTACACTGTGACAATTGTCGCTATACTATTTTCAGCATGCTGGTGAAGGGGGGAGAGTAGGAGTGAGGAGAATATTAGTAGCTAGAGAAATAAGTGGTTTTCTTCATCAAATATGAATTCCTATCATTGTTATCATTATCATAATTATCACGTAAACATCACCTATTTATTTGAATTACTATTATATGTTTATCTAGGAGTCTGGCTCATGGATTGGAATCCTATTATATTCAGTTATAGGAGCAGAATAAAAGGTTGGGTTTGCCTGAAGTAACATAAGATTTAACTCTAAATGACTACAGATGGGAAGGACACAGACAGAATGAGTCATCATTAGTCAGCACTATAGCTACTGGGCTGAGCATGTCAGCAGTGTAATTGTTGACAACTTTTTTTATTGGCAGTTTTAGAGTTCTGAAGAAGGATCACACGATTGGGAGCTCTAACTATGGGGCCACACAGGAAAAATACACAAATTATTGTATTGTTAAAAATTTAACAAGTTGATCAAAGAGGCTGACCTGAGCTGGAAGGGAGCTGTACTAGCCTGTCAGTATTAAATAAGGCACAGCATTCACATAATGATATGAATGTATGAAAGATCTTGAAAATAAAGGATAATGACTTAGGCTGTTTTTCTTGTTTAATAGGGCTATTCTGCTCCTTTTCATTTTTTTCTTTCTTCCAAGTGGGTATTCTCACACCTCAGGGGAAGGTTTTGTTCTCAGCTGTGCCAGTTAAAAGCTTTGTGTGAACATATGATGACCCATATCTGCTAAATTAATTTACTTCAAGAAATAATTTTTGTGGATTTAGATTTTTTTTCTGAGGAGTAGAGAGAAAAATATTTACTAGATCTGACATGTAGCCACAAAGAGAGTCAGAATAGCACAACTGAGGTTGTGGTTCGATGATCAAAGGTGTTTGGTTGGAATTAAGGTGCTGTGACCCCTCAGCCTTTGCTGAGTGTCATACACATATCACAGGATGAGAAATAAGCTTCCAAATGAACATGACTAATTTCTCACACAACACCCTCCCTTCTTATGCTCTATGCACTCCCACACTCTAGATAAATAGATGATACGTCCAGTTCATAGTTTTTTTTCAAAGGAAAATCTTGGCCGGAAATGGTAAATTGATGTATTATCCCACACCTTTCACACAGTATGTTTTCTTGTGAGTAGGCTGTTTGTGCTTTTAAATTCCCAGTGATGTCAACATCAGAAAATGAGGTGAGAGGAGGCAAAATGTGTCAGTAGGGTGCTGTCTGAAGTTGTGCTGTTCCCAATTTATGAAAAACTCTAGTAGCTCGTTCCATCCCAAGGTATCAGCTAGATCTGGAAGATACATGTGTTTTAAACTGGACATAACTGTGAACATGCAAAAACAGCACAGCATTTAGACTCAGCTTCCAGTGATCCTCGTGTATTGGCTCCCAACTATCCACCCTCAGATTATATGGTTTACAGATTATCTGTGCTAAGGGACCAAGGACAGACTGAGTGTTATAGGGTTTCCTAGGATGGGCTCCATGCTATCTGTAATAATCCATACTGTTTCTTTACTACCAGCTTGGATCTAGAAAAACTGACACTGAAGAGGGACAAGTAAATACAACTGGACCCAGACACCTTTCTCTCAAAACCACCAGGAGCTGCTCTCTGCACCATGATCCCTCACACCAATCTTACTCAAAATTTTCTTTTGTTGGTGTCACAAACTACACAATGAAGAGTTTACTGTGTAAATCTGTTTCTCAGTGAAAACCCACATGCATATGAATGTATAGTACAGTATGTTTCAAATTGTTAACTGTCTGAATACTCACAGAAAGGAAATTTCTTTACAGAATGTAGCAGATATTAAAAAGCTGAAGTCAGTTGGGATCTGCACAATCAAAGGAATCCAGATGACCACGAGACGGGCGCTGTGCAATGTAAAAGGGCTTTCAGAGGCCAAAGTGGACAAGATTAAAGAAGCTGCAAACAAGCTTATTGTAAGTCACTTCCCTGAGAGTTTAAACCTATGTTGGCCTCTCCAAAATGCTGTGCAACATTTCTCTTAACAGATTTTCCAGCACATCATTAAGATAATTTTGAAAATTATTCTGTTTGTTACTCTAAAGGGATAATACTTTATACTCCACAACAACCAGATAGTATTTTTCATACCTAACCTGTGTGAATGAGGCTAGAGCGGAGAGAAGGTATTTATATGGGATATTGCACCATAACTTCAGGATAAAGCTAAAATAAACCTCTCATGTTGTCTTTGGTCTTCCTTAGGAGCCAGGCTTCCTGACTGCCTTTGAGTACAGTGAAAAACGGAAGATGGTATTTCATATTTCTACTGGCAGCCAGGAATTCGAGTAAGCTTACCTCTAAAATCCTTCCTTCATCCAAATGTTTCCAATGATTATATTTATCGTCCTCAATTGGACACAGAAATATAAGGGAATAAATACTCAGCTAGGACAAGTAGGTCCCCTTGCATTTGGAGCTACTGCTGGCTCAAAGATTCCTGCATCAGTAAGCAACAAGGCAAACTCCTTTTCTGAGGGGAAACTGAACTTTGTACAGTCACTGTAAATAAACATCCAGAGTTTGCATCCAAAAATCCTGAATGTATCATCATTTTTTTACCTAGTCAAAACAACCTGCAGGTCTCAGGTCACACTTACAAGTGTTCAAGTTCTCCCTTCAGATATTTATCTTTTCAAATGTTATTTTTTCCTCTTCTTTCTTTCCAGTTACAATTTCTACAGATCTTTCTCTTGCACGTAAAAGGAGAGGTTAAGACAGAGTTAATTCTTTATGAATCAGGGATCATTTAGTGCCCTGCACTTAATGCAGCAAGTGAGGGGCTTTAGGGCAAAAATTACTTTTCTCAAAGTAGCAAAAATGTATATTTTTTTACTTTCCTCTTCTGATTTTGTGGGTTTAACTATATCATAATCCTCTCCCTTTCTCCAGTAAACTTCTGGGTGGTGGGATTGAAAGCATGGCAATCACTGAGGCCTTTGGAGGTGAGAGAACCACATCAAATGGGTGTTACTGAACAAAGACCTGAAACTTAATTTAGATTTTAATTCATAAAAAATCGATTATTTCTATCAAATTTACCATGTCGTACTCACAAAGATGAGGACCTGCATGAGTGCAAGAAGAAAGAATCCACTTCTCTTAGTGTTTTCTCATTTTCCCTCTTCATTTGCTTGCAGACTAAGTTTGAGCTGAGTAATCATTAGACTTGGGGCATGCTGATTCAGTAAAACATATCATTATTAACACTATTACTAAGGTGTCAAAGTTCTGATGCAAAATGTTCCTTTCCAGTAACACAACTGCCACAAAAGGTATGCATGCTTAGTGTACATTGTATTTCATGTAAGATTTTGAAATTACAATTAAGCTACTATTATAGTACACTTGATTAGTTTGTGCTTAACACTTCGACAACAAGAAGAAGAGTTCATAAAACACAGCACTCTTCCCTTTAGAAAAGATAAACTAGAGACTAACATGATTTGATGTAGTGAGATGATAAACTTGTAAACTTCTCCTTGATCATTTTACTGAAAATGAAACTGGCCCAGGTCAATGGAATCAACCATTTCTTACCCCACCTGTCCTCAGTTAACACTTTACCACAGGTGCCATGTGGTTTTAACTTCTACACACAAGGGAATAAATGACCTTAGCAATCAAGTGCGATAAAATTAAAGCATTTCAGACTTTGCTTTTCATGTGACACATTTCTCTTGCACAGAATATGATTTATAAATTGAGGTTAAATGATTTAAAAAGATAGAGATAGAAGTGAGTTTTGTAAGTGTGTTCCTAACTGCAGTAATGCCTGAATCTGGCAAACTTGGAAAAAGAGACCTTGACTTTTTTTTTTCCCTTTTCTTTATTTAACAGAGTTTCGGACAGGCAAAACCCAGCTATCTCACACTCTTTGTGGTAGGTGTAGTACCTTAAAAGAGACATGTTTCTTCTCAGTGAACCCATTCTTTACCCCTATGTCAGAATTAAACACATAGAGACAACTCAGAATCTTTTATGTCCAGAAATGCAGTGTAACAGACCTTGGTGACTCTTACCTCCATTAGCTGTGTTTGAGTAGAAAACTCATAAATGATTACTTTTTAATACTGCTCACATCCATGTAAATTTTGCCATAAGGAGAGAGATGATAATAGACTGCCTTAGATAAACCAGTATAACACACCATCTGGAAAAGCAGAGCACAAATATGGGTCACATGTAGATGGGGGGCATTGCTCAGAAAAGGGCAAAGGCAAAGATTCTATCTCAGTATCTCTTTTACTTTCCTGGTTTCCAGAGGTTTTGCTGAATATGACATTCTGGAAGGGCACTGAGGGGATACTACTGGCTGTCAGTGACTGGATAAACAAATACTTTGGCAGTTGCAGTATTCGGGCAGTGCCAAATACAGCAGGACTCTGATTTCCCAGAGATATCTCTCGATGTGTAAATAGTAGTAAAAAATAACTAATATAACTATTAATGCTGCTGGAATTACCAGACACTGCGTAGGCAAATTCCCTTAAATGAACCCTACATTGTATAGTGAAATATGGCATGTTCTGGAAAAATAAGGCCTCTTCTTGTTAGTACAGTCTAATGGCCAGCAGAGTCATACCCTTTTGCATGAATGACTACAACTGGATTCAACATTTTAGCTTATTCACTCTAAAGAGACTAAACCCACAATCAATAACTATTCATGTATCAGGAAAAATTCATACCCAAAGAATTTTTGATCAGATGAGTTACAGCTGGAAAAAACCCTACTAAAACAATACAATCAATTTGGGCAGAGGATTAAGACAATGCCTTGTGTATAGGAACTTATTAATAATATCCTTAAAAGATACAGATTTAGTTAGGGTACTCAGTAAAACACAGATTTGATAGCATTTATTAAATCTCATCTGATCTCCAGTCGAGAAAAGGGGCTTGAGTTTATACTCAAGATGGCAGTAAAACTTGAGATACTCCTGATTTCCACATTGATTAAAACTGGTGGTTCTTTGTGATATGAATAAGCAGTTGTATTTTATTTTAAAAAATAATAATAGAAGGAGCAAGAAAATATTTTCCCCACTTTTTCATGTTGATCTTCTATGATTTTCTGCAGTGACAGCTCAGCTCCCAGGACCAAATGGCTACACAGGTGGAAAGATTATCTTCATTGATACTGAAAACACTTTGTATCTTTTTGACTCTTAAGCTACAGGTATGATGAACTTGAAAAGACAGTTTATTTTATTATATGGAAGCAGGAGTCTCCTGATACCTTCATATATATAAAACATTATGACTGGCACAGAAATCCTGAAGAGCACAGTGTGTAGTGGCCCACAAGGAAGTGACTTTTTCCTCTGTCATTTGATGTAATTCAACCTGGAAAAATTAGAGTTAGGATTCAGATTTTATTTTAAATAAGTTTTGCTTGCGTGTGGGTTTTTTGGTTTTGGTTTGTTTGCTTGGTTTTTTTTTTTTTTTTTTGTTTTGGTTTTTTTTTTGTTTTGTTTTGTTTTGGTTTTGCTTTTGGTGGGGTTTTTTTGTTTGGTTTTTTTTTGATTGGTTGGGGGTTTTTGTTTTGGTTTTGGGTTTTTTTTGTGTTTTTTGGTTTTGGTTTTTTGAGGTTTTTGTTTTGTTTTGTTGGGTTTCGTTTTTTGGGTTGGGGGTTTTTTGGTGATTTTTTTTTTTAAGATCTAATAGGCCTCCTACGGGTGATAGCAGCTTTTCTGTTCAAGATAAATTTATCTAAGTACTAAACACTATTTTTAACACTTCACATCTGCGATAGACTGTGTATAAACAGGTTTTGCTCACAGCTAAATTCCTAGAGCACAGATATTCATGTGCCAGCCCCCCCCCGCCTCAAACCCTAAACACAAAACAATTATCATCGTGAGTCTTAAACTATCTTTAGGGTACGTGGGACAGCATGAAGAGAAAAAGTCAGTCTTCTCTAGGATCGAAATAAGTATTCTTCTTTCCCACCCCATCCCACCCCTAATTCTATTTTGGAATGGAGTTTTATTATTTTCAGGGCATGGTTTGTATCAAGAGAAATCCTTAACTCTGACTAATGTCAGCCGACCAGACCGTCTTCGTGACATTGCCGATCGCTTCAGTGTTGACCATGAGGCAGTACTTGACAATGTGCTGTATGCACGTGCATATACTAGTAAGAACAGTATTGCAACTGGCATGATATTTATGTTTTTTCTCCGAGGTACCCATTTTAATATTGTCATTTTATCAACAGCTCCAACACACTGTGTCACCAGACACTGCTTTAAAACTTAAGAAAGTTTTAAATGGGACTTTTACTTTGAGAGTGCAATATAAATACGATTAAAACAATTTCTGTGTGTCATTTAATTCAACATTAAGTTGAACTGTTTATATTGCTTTTCAGTTTCTTAACACAAGAAAAAAAGTTGTCTTCTTGCATACTTTCATTGTGAAGCTTTTCACAAAGAAGTGTTGTGAGATGGGCAAGTGGAAACTGGAGCCTGCAGAAGCACAGGCACTGTTGGGTATTGTAGGTTGTTACTGGGCACTGGATTTAAAACTGCTGGCAGTGAAAATATAAACAGTGCAAACATTTAAAGTGGGATTTTAAAATTCAGGCTTTTGTTCCTTCAGAGCTCTTTCTGGTCCTAATTTCACTTGGCAACTCTACTTCCCACCAGGTGAACATCAGATGGAATTGCTTGACTATGTAGCAGCCAAGTTCCATGAGGAAGCTGGTATCTTCAAGCTATTGGTACAAGACTTTTTGGTTTTGTATGCTTACTGTTTGAGAATAAGTTTTCCTATTTTCTTTCACTATATTTACTTATCTAGCATAATTACAATGCAGATCATTGACTCCATAATGGCACTTTTCCGTGTGGATTTCAGTGGTCGTGGAGAGTTGGCTGAACGACAACAGAAACTAGCTCAGATGCTGTCAAGGCTCCAAAAAATATCAGAAGGTTGGTAAGCACAACCACCTAGTAGTCCAAGTGTATTATCAATCAGGCACTGGCCCAGGAATCTTTCCTCACTTTACACCTCTGTCTGTTACCAAAAAGATCAAACTGGAAATATATTAACTCAAGATGACAGATTGAGAAAACTTTAGAACTTTTCAGCATTTAGAGTTTTTCTAGAAATGCTGTCAAATCCTAAATGAGAGAATACGTTGTCGATCTGGACAAATATCCAGTAAGAGAAATTGTCTTCCCCAAATTTCTACAGTCTAAATACAAAAGAAACACAAAGAATAGAAAAAAGGATGAAGGCACAGAGAGATAAAAAAGCCGTGCCCATCACCGCTTTCCTAGGACTTTGCAATGCTCTGAGGGATGATGACAGGATGAATAGAAATGTTGATGAGGAATGAGTAAATGCTTTTTTTCTGTGCAGTAAAAAAAAAAGGCAAACAGAGAAAGGGAGGGAGAAGGGGCTGAGGGCAGGGTGCCAAGAGAGAAGATGGGAACTGAGAAAGACTTGTTCACTGGAATTCTGAAAAGTGCTCATTTTTGGTGTATCTCAGCTGAAGCCATGCAGGAGCAAATTCAAGTTGACTCCTGATTAACTGCAGCCATCAGCCATAAATGAATATTTGCAAATATTCATTTGAAATGTGAAGTGCTTCAGCAGCAGCCCTGCTTTTACTGTGGATGGGAGAGTATTTTGGCATTCTAATTGGATGTAGTCTACCTTCTTTCCATTGTTTTCCATTGCAGAATATAACGTGGCTGTGTTTGTGACCAACCAGATGACTGCTGACCCAGGAGCAACTATGACGTAAGAGAATTTTTCTCTCTCTTTTTAAAAAATTTCTCCTATTTTGTAATACACATTTAGGAGAGAACTGAGATTGTATAGAGCAAGTGGCACTGAAATGAAGGTTCAGATTTTTTATTGGTTCCTGTGGTATGAGGAATCGTTCATGGATGACACCTCTAAGTTTCTCTCAGTTTTTGTAATGTTTTTTACGTTTATCTGCTGCCTGGTATGACGGTATGATTTCACTGCGACTTGAATGAAGACAACGAGCTACAAAAAGTATTGAAAAAGCATCCCATTTTCCTTTGGAAGACCTTATATATGATGTTTAAATTGTGCATTTCTTGAGCCTCTTGAATTTAATGAGAGGCAAATGATGCCAGCACTGACCCTCTGAACATCCTATCTTGAGGCAAGTGTGTTAAAGTATTTTTTTAATATATTGACCTATTTATCATTTATTACTGAGTTGATTAGGCCTTGTCTGACAGTTAATCACAGTATTAACCTCTGGAATTTGCACAGTGAATCACTGCCATTTTCTTGCTAATTCAGCTTTCAGGCAGACCCAAAAAAGCCCATTGGGGGCCACATCCTTGCTCATGCTTCGACTACCAGGATCAGTTTGAGGAAAGGGAGAGGGGAGCTGCGTATTGCAAAGATATATGACAGGTAAATGACCTTTCCCTCACAGCAAGGAACCTGCATTATGAGCAACTGTAAAGTGACCAAGTTCAAGGTACTGAAACTTTCTGCATGGTAAATTGGGAGAAAATCTGAAAGGACAAACTAATTAACAGATTAAACAACTAATTAAAGTTGTCTTGCATATTACATACATTAAATTACGTGATCTTTCATTATAAATCCTACTAAGATGCTCGGCTCTTAAAGAAGACCATCCAATAGTTTGGTAGGAGTCGTGCTCCAGAGCTGTGAAATTACTGTTTTCCTGACATAATTATTTCACTTTGTCGGATCGTGATAATATTGATCACGTTTGCACATAGGTATAAAGGCACTGAAGTGTTCCAGGTCACTTACACACCTACAACATTTTGGGGACTGTTTCACAACTGCATTTAACATGGAGAAACCCACAAGTTTCTTGGTTGTTTTTTTCTCCAGCCCTGAGATGCCTGAAAATGAAGCTACATTTGCAATAACCACGGGAGGGATTGGGGATGCCAAAGAATAGGTAAAAAAACAATGTAAATGTACTGCTGGGCAAGTTGGAATGAAGATTTGTGCATGGCTGCAACTGCCTGGCTTCACTTCTAGCTTTTGAGAACTATTTGAGATATTTTGGGAGAACACTGGGATGAACTCTGTACAGTTCAGTTTTACTGAATTTGGTTCATTTAAGGTCTTTGTTTTTCAACTGAACTTTCAGCAGACAATGATTCAAGAAATAAGCTTGTGAATTGTTCTCAGAATCCTTTTCCCGTTTTGTGAAAATCAAAGCTGTTCTTTCACATGAGATTAAATATACTCTTTCTTAGTTTATTTCAAAGAGAATGTCTAAGTCGTAGAATTTAATGGAGCAAAATGAAGAAGAATTGGAATAAACTCAGTTATGAAATTACCATAAATAGGTGGAAAAGGCAGTGGGAGGAGCAACAGCCCAAGAACTTGATGGATTCTCATGTACTGCAGAAGAACAAGTAATTTTAAAAATATGTTTTTAGGCATTTTTATCTTGACTATTTTTATCTTGATAATGCTTACATTTTTATTTAGCAGTTTTTACTTTTTTGAAAAGAATGTTTTAAAACTGTTCTTATTAAAGTTAAAAATAAAGACTGAATTAGAACAGAGGTCTGATTATGTTTGGGTGCTTTGAATTAAACCCTTCTCTCAATAATCCTGTTGATCTTTCACGAGAGAAATAATCCGGGTGCAACCCAACATTTTAAACCTATTGTCTAGTTCTCTAACGGGACAAACTTTACATAATTGGCTTGTCATTCTTCTAACAGAAGCAAGAATACTAAAGATTACTATTAATTATTGTTATCATCATCATTATTAGAAGGAATAAAACAATCCCAGTGGCTACATAGGAGAGAGAGGCACTGGCACTGTCGCGTACACTGAGGGAAAGGCATTTAGGATTCAGTTTGCTGAGGGAGCACAGCTCAAAACTAGCCAGAGGTGTAGGTCATGGGGTACAAAAGAAGAAGCTGGGAATAACGAGAGAAACAGGGCACTGGGGGACAAAATAATAATTCAGTTTGCAATACCTCTGATGCTCATGGAATGGCTTGTTTTAAAATAAACTCAATAATTTATGTATTTATAAGGGAAGGTCTTACTCTGTCCTCTGGTAATGAGAATGGTTTAACTTTGGCCTCTAACTTTGGTCAGGGAATTTGTTCTCACTGGCACAAGAATTTTTTTCATTTAGATTAACAAATGCCTGTAGAATAACATGAAGTAAAAAGGCAGTGATGACCAGAAACTCATCCAAGAGAAGCCTGATGCTGTAGCCAGGCTTTTCCTTGTGAAAGACCTAGAGGGCTTGCCTTCCTTAAGTGGTTTCTTTACAGAGAGTTGGTATTCTTCTTGAGGTAAAGCACAATTTTTCAGTGGAGAAAAGTCTAGAGAGACAAAGGCAGGGAGGCTGGCTGATCTGGGAGAGCCAGGAATGGATCGGCTATTGTCATTTAATGCAATGTCTAGTCCTTTGCATGTGTCATTCCCACACCAGGCATTCATATCCAGTGGCCAAGTACCAGGTGTCAGTGAGAGCGCGCAGTGTCACTTTACTCCCTCTCACCTAGAAAGGCCCAAGTTTCTGTCAATACTTTATTTTAGGCACCAAGATCGCTTTTTGCTTTCTCACGGGTGCCATACATACATACATACAGCACATAAAACTAAAATGGTAATTCGTGTGCTGTTCCAGCCTGTTACTTTTATTCAAGGGTCTGGAACTAAAGGGGACTCACTTTGTCTTCTGCCAATACAGCCAGTTTTTGATAACCTGACGGCCCAGTAAGCACCAGTGATAGTGCAGCCGCCGTTTGAGCCGGGGCTGGGTCTGGCTGGTGTGACCCCATCACCCACCCAGCACGGCCCCTGGTGCCAGGACATGCTGACCTGCCCCTTGGCGATATTCCAGGCACGGCACAAAAGAACTTATGGCCTGTGCCACATAATCGCCTCATGGATTATTCTTTCATTCGGCGAGGAGTCCCTGGTTGATCTGGGGAGTTCTCTCCCGGCCTGCTGGTGCTCTGGCGACACCAAACATCATGGCCGCTGTCACTCTGCTCCTGCCCCAGCTCCGCGCCAAGATTCCCCTACTAATCTAATATGGAAAAACCTAGACGCGCCAGAGCCGCCACGGAGGCCTGAGGGGCCGCTCCCGGCCCGCCGCCCCTCGCCCCATTATTGTCCCTCCATTGTGTCCCCAGCCCCGCCGCCACCGCGGCGGGGCCTGCGAGCGCGTAGGCGACAGGTCGTATTCTTCAAACCCGCTGCGCAATCAGCGTAGCCCTCCGGCTATGCCTGTGCGCTCCGCGGAAGAATGTTACACCAAGCGCACGGGCTCTTCCCGCCCTACGCTGGCCTGAGTTACGCACCTTGCGTACGCCGTCCGCTTACGTAACGTGCGCCCCGGCCCAGGTTTTGCCTGCCGAGCCGAAGGCGTTACGGAGCGCGCTCCTCGCGCAGTAGACTTTGGGGAATAGCGTTTCTCTCCTTCTCCCGCCCGCCTTCCTCACGCGGAGCACCGGCTCTAAGTAAAGAACGCCACGCACCTTTCGTAGCCCGCCTGCTGCTGCGCGGGGCGGTGTTTCGCCGCGCGCGCTTCGTGCGTAGCTGGCTTCCGTGAATAGGCGTAGGCGTCTGGGAGCGCCGCGGTTTGCGCAGCGCCGCGCCGCCCGTAGCGTAAGCGGAGCGGGCCGGGGCGGCGGCGGCCATTTTGTGCCGGGAGCGCGGAGGAAGAAGACGCTGGTGTCTCCACACCGCCCGGGCCCTGGAGCCGACCGAGAGCCCCGCCGTCCCGGCCGCTGACGCCCAGCGGGTCTCGGACCCACTGACCACCTCTTCTCCTTTTGTGTCCCACCAAAGAGGCGAGGTGGCGCAAAGCGAGTCCTCCGAGGCGCAGCCGCCCCTGGCTGGACCCTCTCCCCGTACCCCCAGCCCCTCGCCGTCCCCACGGCCGGCGTTCCGCTGCCTCTCGCCCACCCCTCCGGGGGCGATGAGAGGCTTCGGGGACCGGGGCCGCGACCGAGACCGCGGCGGGTAAGGGGGGGGTTCGTCACGGCCGGGAGGCGATGGGGGGAGCTGAACCACCGCGTTGGGGGCCTGGGGAAGGCGGAAGGCCGGAGAGAGGGGCGTGCGCTGTAATAAGGGTTTTGGGAGAGCGAAAATCCCGTTTGTTGGGATTTTCCCCCACGAATTCTCGTGTGGGAGTGGGGGGAGCTGGAGACTGAGCTGACAACAACGTGGGGTGGTGGGCTTTGAGGTGGGCTTTTAAAATTTTTTACTTAGCTTTTCTATCGTTCGTATGTAACTGTGAGCCTTGCTTGCAATTTTAAGACCTGCATCCACAACCCTCCCCCTCCCCCAATTATTTGCTGCCAGCCCTGCGACCCCCGTGCCCCCCCTCCGCAAGCTAGGAAGGTCTTGGTGTTCCTATCAGGGTTGGTTGGTTCCTCTGCCCTTCGGGTTGTCATTGCTCCTTCTGGACTTTCTGGAAAAATGGCATTGGGGGGAAGATCTCTCTCAGCTGCGCTCCGAGGCTTATCGTGAGAGGAAGTGGGGTTGGAAACTGCTGCCATGCGGGGGACTTCGATACTGGGGATCACACTTGCCAAGCTTATGTAGCACAACAGGGATTGTTCGTGTGGCACTGTAGAGACCCTAGTACTTGATACTCTTGAATGTATTATTTAAAGGAAGTTTGGCTTGGAAAAGGCTTTTGCAGGTTTGATTTGATGTGATTTCTTGTTTCTGAGAATGACAGCAATAAATAAATACAGTGGCATTATACTACATAACTGGATTGAGGCTCGAGTTTTTTAAGAGCTGAAAGTAATAAGGCATTTGTGCCAGGCCTTTTTAAAGAGAAAGTTAGAAATAATTTTGGAAAGTGGCATTTTCTGTCCTTCAGATCACGAGTAGTTAGGCCTCGGTTCTCAAGGATTAGCAATGGACGTATCATGCGGGTTCTGTTATTCTTAATATGGCAGACTAGATCTCAGTTAATAAGTCTTCTCTCGTTTTTTTTTTTTCTTTTTTTTTTCCCCACTTCCTTTTCTTCTTGTTTTCCCTCTCCACAGAGGGATTAAAGAATATTTTGCTGCATGTTGCAATGCACTTTAACATTTAGTTTCTGGTCGTCTGTGAAGGGAGATAGTTATATCATTGCTTTATCTTACACCCACATTTCACGTTCTGAAATTAAAAGATACTTTCATTTTTTTTTTTCCACAGAGAGGAGGGTTCTGGTGTTTTTCCGCTATGAGATTTCCAGCTCAGTTTAACACAAGGACATTGGAGTAAGCACTTTGGCAAGTCTGAGATAGGTCAGACCCCAGCTGTTTTTGGAGTTTAGTCAGTGAGTTTGAGTATGCAGATTTATTTACAGTTACTTAAAAGAATACTGGCCAAAGTGTTGACACGAAACTTGATGTACCTTAAAATTAGTGTAGCCTCATTTTATGTAAAGTCTTTGATTATAGTGGATGCTTCTCTTTGATCAGGGGCTTTGCATGAGTAAAAGGAGTGCCTACATGCTTTTTTGTGAAGGTTTTGGGCATTTGCATGACAAATCTTTTTTTTTGGCATATTATCCTGGAGGTTTTAATGCATTGGAATTCAATTTGTTATATATGTCCTTTTAAGGTGTGAAAATATTTGTAACCGCTAATAACCATCATACTTCATAAACAAGCTGTATAAAATTTCAGGCCACCCAGTGTGCTGGTTCAACACCATTTGAAAGTTTATCACCAGTTGTTTTGTAGGCTAATCAAACACAAGTTTCTGGTTTCTTCTTGTCAGGAACAAGTTGTAGGTGACTACTTAGGATGAAAAATTACAGTGTTTTGCTCTCAAATTTAATTGGTTCTGTCCCAGAAATGATGGCATCAGTAATATGTCAGAAGAATGTTTTGGACCAGACGGAATTTACACTTTAAAGAGAGCTGTTGGCAAATCGGGGTAATATTCCTAGATTCAAATCAGTTTACTTGGAATTGGAATCTCGTTTTACTTGTAGTCAATGTAAAGTGTCAGTTACTGCCAGTTCAGTAGATAAACCTCAACAGGCAGGTTCAAGGGCTGCTGTAGGGCTCACGTCTTTCAGGACAGTATCTGGGCATATTGTGTATAGGAATGGAAAACTGAAACTGTGTGACTTCAGTGTAAAATACATCGGTTTTTCCCTCTGGATAGCTGCGGGACAAATACAGTACCAGCTGTTCCAGTGTCCAGTCTTGCCATCAGCCCTGTCATATGTTTCCTTTCATAGGGGAACTCACTGACCCTTTGAACCTCCACTGGACTTCAGTGAGACTGTGGGTTTTGTAGTGACTACTTGGATACAGAAATAGTTGCCATTTTGACCAGTTAGCAAATAAGGGATATTTATAAGAAATGGAAGATTCTTAATGCGCAGTTGCAACAGAGCAAGCATTTTAAAACTTAGTAGGTTTTAAGTTAGATTATATCTACCATACTTAGCTTTTTCAACAATTTAACCCCTTCTTCCTGTTAAAATGTCGATTTGAGTTCTGTTTTCTTGGTC